AGAGAGAGAGAGAGAGAGAGAGAGAGAGAGAGAGAGAGAGAGAGAGAGAATATCACGTTGACTAGTAAAATATTATAAGTCTGGAAAAAGGGAAAGTTTTCCAACAAACTTAGAAAATACACGGAATTTTTCGTAAATTAGATAAACATGAAATAAGCGATACTTTTATCGACGACATTTATTGATTTCTCAATGTTACATTATAAATAGGCAAGACACTGACAAGGAACGAGATATCTCTCGCGTCTGTATTGATCTTTTTTTTATCTTTATTCAAAACATTCATCTGCTCGGAAAAAAAATTTGTTTTGCTGGTCCAGGTTTCTGGATGTCACAGTTAAAATTGATCGTTGTTTTCTTTTGTATCTGCTAGAAAATTGTCTGTGATACGTCGAGTTTATAGCAGCAGCAGTGTTCTAGCAATAGTCGCGGGCAAATTTACATTTTGTTTATGAATCTGAAATAGATGCGACAGAGGAACTTTCTTGCTGAATTTTACAAATAGCTCAGATAAATTCTGTTCTTTTGTCATCTGCATTGAAGATTAAATACAATATCTGTGCGCGATATCGGAGTACTTGCTCCGTACTTTATTTATTCATCCCAGCTAATCTCTTTTATCTAAATTATCTTTTATCTAGATTATCTTTTGTTGATTATCGCTGCAGGACCATTTTTGAAAGTATGCTTTTCTTCTCCGAACAATTATTAATTGGCTATCAGGATGACAGGTTAGAATTGAATTGAAATCGCGGTCAGTTTTAGCCGAGGAATCAGCGGGAGAGATCGGGTAGCTCGTGAATCCTCTCGGCGTAGTAGATAATAGCTCGCCATTCCGAATTTAGATCGTTCAACGCAGCGATCGAAGGCGCACGGAGCGTAATTTCTTTCGCCAACTTTTTTACAGAGGTTTGCACCTGTGACGACGCAAAATGGGAACGTCACTTGTGATCCCCGTCGTGGAGGATCCCTCGAGATGCTGCGAGGATGTCGCAGCGTACAGAAATGGCGTACAGTGTCCTTGAAGGGGAGATGAACTTTGCGAAGATGCACGTGTGATACGGGACAGGCTCCGACAAAATGTTGATCAAGGAGTATCGTATACCGATGCCTCTCACGGTAGAGGAGTATCGAATCGCTCAGCTGTACATGATATCGGTAATTATCGCGATCAGTCCTACAAGTTCTTCGCTGAAGTCCGCCGTGTCGTTACATTAATGCTGTGGTCGGTTCGTAAGACTTGCTCGAACGTTGCGCGTTTCCTGGTAAATTTAAGGCGGTATTTCTGGCTCGATATTTTATTTAGGAGTGTCTTAAATAAAATAGAACGTCTAAACAGTGGACTGGAGATGGAAATCGACGTCTTTAGTTTTTGAAACATTGGGGATTGGAAATGTTGATTCACTTTGCTTCAGAAGGCTAAAACACAGCGCATCATATCTTGCGTTTTGTAAGATTTTAATGAATATTATACAAAAAATATTAATCTGGATTCGTGAATCATAGATTTTACTTCATTGATTACATATATTTTAAGTTTCAATAAAATATATTACAACTAATGCGAAGAAAATTTGTAAAATATTAATTTAAATTATTATATTGGTACGAAAAAAAGATTGTAAAATTTTTATAATTTTGACATATACATATCCGCAATGTGTCGAGTTCATCTTACGGTATTCTGCAAACGTAAATGAAATTAAATATAAACGTCAATAAAGCGCAAGTAAGATGAAATGTTCTGTAAGTGAAACGATTTGACAGTACCTTAAGATGAATTTAAAAGAGTATTTTGGTTTGAAAGATCGCAAAAGAATGTATTTTTTCGGAATATTTTGTAGGAAAACAAAAAAATCGAATAAAAAACGTCATACTTTACATATTTTTTAAATTTTAATTTTGGAACCAAACACAAAAAAGACGCGGTTCCGGAAAACAAGCAAAGTATTGGACTACGAAAGCCTGAAATACCAAATTCTTTAAATCTTATTTTAAAAATATATTTTTATTGTCGAAGTGACAAAAATACTTTTTTTTTGTATGTTATATTCTGGTTACTTAGAGTCCGCAAAAAAGGACGTATACGGGCAGTGTACGTAATTCTGAATCTTCTAGGTATCTGAATCGCAAAAACTTTCTTATTTTCTTATTCAGTAGAAGTATGGCTATCTTCTGAACTAGTATTAAACCAATATTACTATTCTAAGTAAAATGGCCTTTTTATTAAAAAATATTTTTCCTCAAATTATTGTTAGTTTTATTTAAAAAAAATTTTATAAATGTATAATATTTATTTTAGTTCAGACGATAGCCACATTTATCCTATAATAAGAAAACTTTTGTTTCTGCGTTTCAGATATCTAAGATTTAATTTACAATGTATTCTTTGCTTCCTTTTTCTTTCTCTTTATCTTTTCCTGACTCAAACTTTAAGCCTAAAGTTTAATCTCCAATGTTATTTGCTTTCTGTTTCTTTTCCTTTATCTCTTTCTGACTCAAATCTTAAGCCTTAAACTAAAAAAAGACAGAGAACAAGAAAGCAAAGAACACATTGTAAATTAGGCTTTAAGTCAGAGGAAGACAGAAAAGAAGAAACAGGAAGCAAGCAGCACATTGTAGATTAGGCTTAAAATAGCCATAATTAATTATCGTCCATGCATTTTTTTTGTGAAATCCTAGTGATTAGGATATGTACAAAAGAATACGTACTAGATAACGTACAAAAGATGAGATAATAAAAATATATTCCGTCCTGAAATGAAATTAAAAAAATGTGCATAGTTTGATATTATTCGATATTTTTTCATTTCCCTAAAGAAAATTCCGTAAAAATATTTTCTTTTTTGCGATCATTTAAATGAGAATATCTTAGTTAAGAGACAATCTTAAATTCAAGATCAGATTACGAATGCAAACTATTACCCATAGTTTCAGTTTGGTTTACTCGAGTTTCGTGCAGCTGTCAGTTTCGTCGAGTTTCGCGTGCGGATATCGTATAATATTCACAATTGAAACATTGAAAATTGCCGTATTTTGGACATCACGAGTAGTCGCTTTTCTCGTCGCCACGAGAAGTTGCGAATTCTCGGTCGTTTTTGAAGAGCCACCCTCGACAGTTATTCGTCCATTCGTTTTCCGCAAAGTCTATTCCTGAGTATCGTTTTTTCTTTCTTTTTCTCTTTTTTACAAAACGTTTATTAATAAGTTTACGCGAGCGGAGGACGCGGAGACTCGTTCGGCGATCGATAAGCATGATGTGACATGGGCTATGTAACTCGCGCAGAAAAAGTCTCGAAATGAGAGCACGGGCGCCGGTAGCGGTGTGGAGATAATCGAGAACAAGCCGTATAGCGACGGTCCGGGCGGCGACGGGCAGTACACCCTGAAGATCTACCACGTGGGCAGTCACCTGCCGGGCTGGTTCAAGAGCCTGCTGCCCAAGTCGGCCCTGATCGCCAAGGAGGAAGCATGGAACGCCTATCCCTACACCAAGACCCGCTACACGTGCCCGTTCGTGGAGAAGCTCTCCGTCGAGGTCGAGACGTACTACCTTCCGGACAACGGCCATCAGGACAACGTCTTCCAGCTTAACGGCAGTGATTACAGGAATAGGATCGTGGGTAAGGAGAAAATTTCGTATTCGTTGCACTGCCGCGGAGAAAATATCTCGACTGCGCGAGTCGCTCGCGAATATATCGATCGCTATAATCGTGACTGTGGGAAGCCTGATAAATATTATCCAACGCAGGTCATTGATTAGGTTCAAATCTAACTAGAATCTATGACGAGGAGATGAGGTGCTTGGCTGTTGGTGTTGATTTCCTGGCTATTAAACGAGTAATCACGTCGTCTCTCTGCCTGTTCACTCTTATCGCGATCGTAATTGTTAAAATATCTGTGACAGGTATCGCGCGTACACGGAGAAAATATTGTAGTGAAAATTACAACTTTGCGATCTGGACTATACAGAAATATTATATATTCGTTTAAAAATTTTATGCACGTTTGAGTATTTGCTGCAAAATTATCGTACACTGTGAGAAAAGAAAAATTAAATTTAACCAATATTTATTAGATGGGAATCATTAACATATTTACTTAAATCAAAATTCTCTTCATTTAAATCGAGTATTATTTACTTAAACTGAGTAAATAATATTTTAAGTAAGTAAAACCCACCTAATAAATATTTGTTAATTTTTAGATATTTTTCATATCATAAAAAGATCATCAAAGAGTGCCGCCAAGCATCCATAGACATTCCATTCGTCTCTTTATAAAAAATTTTGAATATTCCAATTAATGATGCGCCAATTTGTGAAGCGTATGTTAAGTAGATTAAGAATATACAGTCTCGATATTATTCTCGTGGTCGTTTGGGAGATAAACGGTCCAAAAAGTTGCAATCTCAATAGACAGCGATTCTAGCGCGCGGCGTGAATTTTGCGTATTATCGGAGAGCAATACGAGAATAATATTGAGATTTTACATTCTTATAATCTACTTGTTTTACACAAGCTTCAAGAGTCGATATATCATTTATTGGAAATTCAAAGTTTTACAAAATCCCGTGGAGAAGAGGTGAAACTTGATCGCACTCTTTACTATCGCGATAATAATTTATCCTGCAACTTTACTATAGTCCAGCTTTACAAAAGACATTGTGGAAAGATATGTAATTTTAACGTAATTTTTGCTACAATATTTTCCCTGTGTGTATTATTCATCTCAACTGATCTCGCAACGATCTGCTTCCAAGATGTGATCGACATCGTCAAGGATCAGCTCTACGGTTCAGACTACTTTAAGGAGGAGGATCCCAAGCTATACGTGTCGGAGAAGACAGGAAGAGGCCCGCTGGAGGACACCTGGCTGGAGGATTATTGGGCCGATGTGGAAGTATACATCTCTCCATTCTCTTTCTTTCTCTTTCTTTTTTTCTCTTTTTCTCTCTCTCGTTTTTGAAGAATTGACACCTCTCTGCTTAAGTAGTCTCACCGTTGATACATTAGCGATTCTCTCGCCGTCTAGGGTCAGCAACAGCCATCGCCGTCGGGAAAGTCACTAATGTGCGCGTACAAGCTATGCCGAGTAGAGTTCCGTTATTGGGGCATGCAAGCAAAATTAGAAAAGTTCATACACGACATAGGTTAGTACCGTAATTGCTTACCACTTCTGTCCTTTCTTACCCTTTGGATGTCGGGCGGTTGTTTCCGGTTAGGTCTCCAGCTTCGGATATATAATGATATGATAGGATAGGATTGACATGAAATATTCTCTTCGTTGCTTAGATTCTGGGAGAGATTATCCAGAGAAAGTGAAGATTCATTAATTCTTCCACAGATACTTATACCTTTTCAGAATATCGCATGCTTTACGGTCCAAGAATTGAGAGAACTTTAGCGTTGTAATTTTAGACATTTTTGCCTTTCTCTCTCTCTTTCTCTCTCTCTCTCTTTTTCGCTCCTTTTGTAAATTCAGAATTTACAGTTTACTTTTCGGCATATGGAGTGTCTCAGAAGTCTCGCGTTTTGTCTGAATGATCAGATATCGTCTGAATAATGAAGGAGCTGAAAAGAATCTAGTCTTTTTTTCTCGATATTAGAAAGTCGACAGTCATCGAGTTATGAATGATTAAATATTTGATGTGGAATAATATTTTTCTATCTAGGAATCAATTTTAGCCAATAGAGTCTTATAAAAATTTTTCCGGTGAACAATAATTTCTTGTGGGAAGATGACATCGACGATATAATATTCTTCTAATGAATCCAACACGGCCGTGAAAGAAGACGACGCAGTCAGGTCGCGATTTGCTCGAGATCGACCGCGCGATTTCTCACACACTCTGTATGTCGTGACTCATGCATTGATTCATTTCGTTGGCCTTCTTGAACACGATAGCGACGCTTAATGATAATTAACGCGATTTTGTCGGATTTAATTCGATGCAAATCAAATTTTCACGCGGAGAGCCCCCGGCAGCCAAAGGGTTTTAACTCTTTCGATCATGAGCCTCTCTTCCTCCCTCTCGTGGAAGAACAGATCGACTCGACCTTCGAGGTCGCACATTTTCAATGGAACAATTGACCGACGGAACTCCCAACGAGACACACTCGTCCCTCGTCGATGGAACATTCCGAGAGTTGAGTCTTACACGCGGTCGCTCACGAGTAGGAATTAATTTCTCTGTAAGCGCAACAAGCCGCAATCCACCGTCGCGAGTTCGCCCGACGTCTCTCTGGAGATACAGCAATTAGCATAATTCGCGAGACGAGACGATGCCGCTGTATATTGCACCCGAGTGTATACCTCCGTCGCCGTTGGAGCAACGTTTTTTCTCCCTGTTGCATGATCGAAAGGGTTAATTTTAACTGGCGCACCCGGTCGGCCGTGCGTGAGACGTATTAAGGTCGATTCCAGCTCTGCGGAAGACGATGCTGCGAGCGCACAAGCAGGCCTGGGCCTGGCAGGACGAGTGGAACGGACTGACGATGGAGAACATCAGGGAGATCGAGCGGCAGACGCAGCTGGCGCTGCAGGAAAAGATGGGTTTGGGTGATTCCACGGAGGACGAGCTCGGCGAGGAGGCGAAGGCGATCACTGCAGCCGCGGCGACCACAGCGGGGGCGGCGGCGGGTGCGACGGGCCCGGGTGTCGCGTTGACGCCGCAGGAGTCGGACGTCGCCAAGACGTTGGCGGCCACTTTGGGCAGCATCGAGAAGAACGACGAGGCGCAGAGCCCGCCGTCCGTCAGGAAGCCGTCCGATATTCCCATCATCAACACGGCCGGCAGCTCCGAGGGTGAGATCAGCCCCGAGGACTCGCCGACCGACTTGGACGAAATCAGGTAGGGCCGAGTTCGAATTATAGACGAGGAAAGTGTTGCAGTAGAAAATTATGTTCAAGTTATATCTTGTACTACTACAAAGTTTATACTGAAATTGTAGGATAAATTATTGTACGTGGAGAGAATTTTATGGTAAAAATTGCTATAGGATTTTGTAGAATAGATTAACTTATTCTAAATTCACTATCCTTTTATTTCACATATACTATTTATATTTTAGGAACTGAAATGTGCTATTAATATGCTTGCTACGTTTCTAGCGAAATTTACTGTGTTCCTTAGCAAGATATAATAGATCTTACTAACGGTCTATTCCTGGAGTATTAAAAACATAGTAAAATTGAAATGAATTTATATGAAAGGAAACTTCTCTAATATTTTTTCTATATGGAAGTAGTAAAAATTTATATTTAGTCGATTTATCTGATACACAAAAACAGCCAAGTAATTATAACAATTTTGTAGTAAAACATCAAATGTGCATAATATTTCTAAATAGATGTATTTGTAATTTTGGTCACAATTCTGTATGGTCCAAGATTATGAAAATTTTGCTTGTGATTTTTACTACGTTGAGAGAACAAATCTAAAGAATAAAAGATATGTATTCAGTAAATATTAATAACATATTTACTTAAATCTAAATTTATTATTTAAATAAAATAACCATTTGTCCACAACCTTGCTTTAACTCTTAAGTCTTAAGACATTGGTTATTTTAAGACATTGATTATTTTAAGAATAATCGAGGGTGGTTGGGCAATTTCTTACAGCTTAAAGATTAAAGCGAGATTGTGAATAGCAGGTAAACAAGTTAGCTTTTGTGAAAAGCTAAGATTTTGAGAAAATGCATATTTTTTTGTTCAAAAAATATTTAATATTAATATAAATGGTGTTATTAGTATCTCCATCGCACGCGCGAATATCTTTTATTTCTTAGAATAAAATATTAATATATATATTTTTTATAAATATAATATAATATATATTATATTATATATAATATTTTTCTTAATATAGAATATAAATATTTTTCTTTTAATGTATTTTTTCTCTTAATATATTCTCCGTGTATATACGCTGCGTTTTCGTGTCGCGAAAGAATAATGTATTGGCAAGTGATTAGTGACGAATGGAGATGCGGTGATCTCATCGCCAAAAGAGTTTCAAAAGATTCTTTCAAAATATCTTTTCTTATTTTTTCTTTTCTTTTAATCTCTGGTTGCGCGCTAAGATGTTGAGGGATATACAAGTATTCGGTAAATCGCGGCGCAATCGGCGACAATGTGATATCAGGTTGGTGAAAAACCTGTGTACAATAAAATAAGAAATGGAATGATCCAGTTTCGTAGGATCGATGATTTTTGTGAGTAAAATGAACAACATTGACTTGATATTTCTTTTAGACATCTAATGAGAATTTTTCTGAGAATTGAATAGAAAATTGACAAATCTTATGCATCAACCTAATATCTCGTGAGAAAATAAAATGAAAAGGTTGGATGCATTTTGTAAAAATAGGTCGATTTGCCGATTGTGCGATTTATACCTCGAATTTCTGTTTGTTTCTGTAAAAAGGAGAAATCGACCTAAGTCCTTCCAGGAACAGGTTCTTGAAACGATATGTAATCGTCGCGTTTTGTGAATAGAAATACGGGTATTATAATTCTGAATTATTATTCGGTGTAATAAGTCGATTAATTGGACTGGATGAATTAACCTGTGTATTGCAGAGCCGCGACCGTCGACGAGAAGGCAGACGGCAAGAAGAAATGGCGGAAGAACAACGTGGCTATGCACTCGCCGAATTCCAACAAAAGCTTCGACATCCAGATCGCGAACTGGAGGATGGAGAGCATCGTCAGGGAATCCGAGTCCGGCAGCGACGACGAGTTCTTCGACTGTCAGGGTAAGGTTGTTACGTCACACGCGCACGTACAGCATGTCGTGAGCATCTAGAGAATCTAGAGGAGACATTGACATTAACACTATTCGCCATAAGTGAATGAATAGATAACGATTGCGGCGACACACTGCTTCGTGGTAGAACGCGTTCCGCAAAATTAATAGAAGCTCGGAAACAATGTCTGGCCGGATCGGACCAGTCTGGAGCAGAGACATACATTATTGTGAGATGAACGAATACGGTATTCTGCTTAAAATAATGGATGGAAAACGATAGAGAGTACTGGTATTTCTTTCCAATGGCAATGAATCTCCTTTTTCAAGATATATTTAAAAAATTTCATAAATATATTGCATTATAGATTATCATGTCCTTTGTAAATATATATTTACAAATTTATTATAATATTCTCTTAATTTTGTTGTCATATTCTTTGTAAATATATATTTACAAAAGATATGGTAATTTGCAACACAATTTATTTGTAAGATTTCTTAGATGCGTCTTAAAGAAAGAGATGCAAAATCACTGTCGGAGAGAAAAGCCAGCATTTTCTATCATTTTCTGTCCATCATTTTAAGCAACGTATATCCTTTTCGACTGCGCGATGCTTCGATATCGGTGTTGAGAGAAAGTTGCTTGTGTATAACGTAGAACTGAAATGAGTTTTGCGAGTCTCGTGAGTTCATGCGAAAGGAGTGTGTCTTGCATAGATGCATAAAAGACAATGCGTAGATAGAAGCGAGATAGCGAGGACAGCATGTGGCTGTGTTTTTATGTGTATCCTCTTTGTTTTCTATGTCGCACCCCATACCGCAGCTGGGTTCATTATACCTGTTATACGCAAAGGTAGGACACGTAGAAGCGATTAAGTAGTAAGAGAGATAAGTTGAGAGCGTGAGAACAGATAGAGAAAGGGAGATAGAGAAAGAGATTGAAAATGAGAAAGAATCGCTTGTCGTCTCTGTGTGTATCAAAGGCATCTGCAAGATTAAAGAATGGCCTCAAAATACCGCGGACAGTCTAGTTTTGGCTATACACACACATACCAGACATACGTACACGAACTTTGTATTTCTCGGCGTGATATGCGAGCAAGATTATAAATAATCGAGCATGAGAATCGAGCGAGTAGCTCGCAAGGCATGCGCCAGCATGAATACATAGTGAAAAGGACAGTTGACGCAGCGGCTAACGAATCGGCTTGTCTCGCGTACGTTACGTAGAGTTTTTACGTATAGATAGACATAGTTTACACAGGCATTAAGTAGAGTACGAAGACATGACTTCTATATAATCTAGAATTCTCGAACGATCTAATCGCAATTCAACTGGTATTGTGAATTATTTACGACGACTGTTGCTTTGTCGTAAAATTGTCACCTTCATGCTCTCTGAGGTCTTAAACATCATTGTAGATTGAGCGTCTTTATTGATCTCTATCTCGTTATTGTTGCGAGTCCTGTTTCGAAACGTCTCACGCGATTGTCCGGAGAGACACATTGCATAAGCAGTGTTAACGTTTCTGATTATACAGAGGACTTTGAAGATAGCCCTTCATTAGCTAAATGGAGTTCTTTGGATCTTCTAGCAGAAGGGGAAGACGCGACTGTGCGTACACCGCCCGCGGCGAACGAGCAAGGTTAGTTCACTGAAAGAAAAGGACATTATTTTACTTTCATGGAGTAATGTTGCGGGGGAAACTTTATTTCTCACGATATAATCTCGCGGTAATAATTCCATCGTATTACCTCTGCTCACTCTCTCCTCCAATTATGTCACATGAAATTATTATCAATTTCGTGAAAGCT